GGCCCGCGGGGCCCGCCTCCTCCCTCCTCCCTTCCCTCTCCGCCCTTGTCGGCGCGCAGCCCAGCTCTCCCACGCCGGGTTTCCTGCTTAAGATGGCGTCCCCCATGGCAGCGCAGGCCCGGAAACTTCTGCGAGACCTGGCGCTCCAACCCACGCTCCTCGCGCCCAGGTCTCAGGTGAGCAGGCCTTGTGCCAGGTGCCGCGGGCAGGGCGCTTAGCGGGCCGCCCGCCTGCCCAGGTCCTCCTCTTCCTGTTTCTCCACCTGTCTCCCTCCTGGCACCGGGTGCGCGGCTGCTCAGGTGCCGCACCTCTTGAGACGACGCGCTCTGCAGCGCCCGAGGCGCACGAGGGACCCTGCACCCTCCGCTCGGGTGTGGACCTCGGGGCCGAAGGGCGGCGACAGCTGGGGCTGCCTCAGAGTGTGTACCACGCAAGTCCCAGAATGCGTTGGCGTGGGTTCCCCGACCTCGCGCGCAAGGCACCTGGCCCTGTACTAGACTCTGCATTGCAAGTTTAGGAAAAGTTCCTCGGACCGGGTTTTGGAGATCGGAATGTTTATTATCTGCTTTACCATTTCTGGTTTTGAAACTTCTCTATTCCTGAGCGCACTTGTTAGGCATGACGAACTTGCTTAGAAACCCATCCCAGCCTACCTCGTGTAGTAGCTCACCTCCTGCAGTGAACTTTCTGCACGTTGCCTGCTTTTTGTAGTCTTTGGGGCACCTCAATTGGTGAAATGAGTGGTCAGGGAGAAAAATGGGAAACACTCTTCTTTCTCCTTTCAATGAAAAATTAATCCTGTCACTAAAACACATCAGAGCATTGGCCTTGGCCACTTTCGCCTTGCTTATAGAGAAAAACCCAAGAGGGCCAGTGGTGAATGCTGAGTATCAGCTATTAGAACTTGGCCTTTGGTAGAGTTTACCATCTGCTGACGGCAAGAGTTGCAGTAATTAGGAGGCCTTTGGGGAGTTATGAGTTGGTGATGACTCTGGAAGAAATCACTCAACCACTCTTATTCTCCGTGGAGTCTCTCTCCCCATTTAAAGAAAGGACTGTGGCGCTCAGCCGCAGCAGAGGGATGTCCTTGTCGATTTTCGCATTTTTAATTGAAGAGAGACAAATGATCCTGCTGTTTTAACCAGGATGTGCATAGTATAGCTTTAAAGAAAATTTAAAAATCGCTACTAATGATATTTTCAGTTACTTTAAGCTTTGGTTAATTATGACATCTGCGTTTTTTGTTTTTGTTTTTTTTCTTTTTTCTCCTTTCATTTCCTGACTTCTCATTTCTCTCTTTGTTAATGTAAATTTAAAAGGTGCTAATACTTATTACTCTAATAATCTTAACAGGCACTTGACTGGTGGGATAGCAAAAGGAGTGGCAGTGTTGTCTAATTAAAATCACTAATAACTATTGTAATAACATAAGGAGAATACCTCCAGGTGATCAAGTCCCATTCATTATTTAGGTGTGACAAAAAAAAATTGTGGTGCTAAATATGACTAGAGACTTGAATTGATGAGAAATGTGGGGCCTACAGCAATGAAAACTCAAGCAAAGGAAGTAATTAGAGAAACCCAACTGTTTAATGAAGTATGATAAGGCTTTTTGCCTCACCAAGAAATGGGAGCTTGAACATAGCACTCCACAGAATCTGGTTGGGGATAGATTATCCTCGGTTTGGCAAGAAGACTGGGTGAAAGGATTTCCTACTTCACTCCATCTGGCAACCTTGATTTACATACTTGTAGATGATTAGTTATTTTGTAAACAGAAGGCTCAGAAGATGAGAATAATTTTTGTAAGTCGAGAGCAGTACACAGTATCCAAGAATTGGGAAATGGGCATTAGCATGCATTTAGTCTAACCAGCTCATTTCATAGGTAGAAAAATTGAGGCCTAACGAGGTTCAATGACCTGTTCAAAGAGTGTTTGCGGCAGAGCTGATTCCAAAATAAAGGTTTACTTTTAAGTTTCCATTACAACAGGCTGTTGCTTTGTGAGTGTAGATTCGCTACCGAAAACACAGCATATATTAGTCTGCATGCCAGTGGAAACCAGTAGAACATCCAAGTCATCAGCAATACTACACATTTCTGTTTTTCCTATGTAGACATCTTAGAATTGGCAAAAAAAAAAAAAAAAAAAAACACAAATAGGTGAGTATTGCTCATGCCTTATAAGGAACTCTTCAAATTCTTGGATACTTAGCATTCGCTTCACCTAAGTCTGCTTGGATGTTGTGCCTATCTACTCTCTTGCTGATGTCAGACATTACAATTGAATATCACCCACTTTTTCCACAAAACTGCAAGAGTCCTTACCCAGTGTCTCAATTCTGTTGCCACTCTTGCTCAGACCTATTTTGTACCAGGCCTTAGGCAAAACTGTTGGGGCATATATAGATAAAAGACCCAGTTTCTGCTTTGAGAAGTAACTTTAACCACTCTCACGAAGGTACCCATAGAATAACACTTTATCTAGCCATCACTGTAGTTAAATTTAACATCTGACACCCATTCCTAATGTATAACATCATTGAAATTTTTTATTTCTCTGCTCTTGGCTTCACTGTTTTGATTTTTGATGGTTGATATATCTTTAAAGGGCCCCGTTTAGCCATTTCTTATTTTACATATATATATTTTTTATTCAGCCTATGCCTAAAACAGGACTGTTCCAAGAGCTGAGATTTGGGGGTGGTTCAACAAGACAGGCAGAATCCTTGGCTACATGATACTTTATTTTAATGGAATTGGTGAAGGGACTAGACCATACATACATAAACAATAATGAAGATGATTTCAGCCAATAACAAATGCTTTGAAGGACATAAAACAGGTTCATTGTATGGAGAATGAATAGCTTAGCCAAAAGGAAAACCAACTTGACAAGATGGTTTTTTGTTTTGTTTTATTTTTTATTGCAATGTAACATGCATACTAGAAATGTATGTAAGTGAACAACTTGATGTATTTTCACAAAATGAACATGTCCAGGTAACCAAATTCATATCAAGAAACGAATCATTTAGCAGTAACCCAGAGGACCCCCTGGTGCTCCTTTCTTTCACTACCTCCACCCTGAAATGGATAACCAGTCCCCTGACTTATACCGCCATACACTGGTTTTGTTCCTTTTTGTACTTTACGTAAATGGAATTATACACTATGCACTCACATACCTCAACATTATGTTTATGAGATCCTGGAGGTGAGTTTTGGCCATCTGAGCTGAAACCTGAGTAATGAAAAGTACCAGCCAGTGAAACTCTGGGGAAGAATATATTAGGCAGCGAGGACAGCAAGTGCAAAGGCCCTGTGGTGGGAATGAGCTCAGTATGCTCTGGCAGTTAAAGAGGGGCAAAGTGGTAGTACTGGTAATAATCTGAGAGTTCAGCA